AAAAAAAACTAGGATCGATGCCAAAAAATAAAATTAAATAGAAAGAAAAAAAATTCAGTACTGGCGCGGCGCCGCCATTTTGTAGTTTTTTTCCTTGAAGCCTACACCATAATGCGAGTCAAAAAAACTACACGACCCAAAAACCATCACTGCTTCCGGAGCGGGATGGGACAGGAGTGAAAATCCACTCCCGTCTCAGACTCTAGTCTGAAACTTGTTTACCATGCTTTGGAAACGCACAGCACGATCACGTGACCAAACTCCCGCGGCAGATAATAAAGTCTTAAACTCACTGAGAGTAATTCCTCATCTGGGCTGCATATCTGCTGCTTCACGTGAACATGAGCCGAGCCGCACCATCTCTCATTCACAAACACCGCCAGACCATGACACATATAATATGGAATAGGGTAAATAGAATTATAAAAATATCTAAACACTGTGGCTATAAGGCATGCAATATAATAGACCTATATATACAGTAAGATAAAAATGTAGAATGATAATCCCTATGGTCTAATGTAATAAAAAAGTGATTTGATTTAAAAAAAATAGAAAAGTATTCGGCCACAGCTGGGACCAAACCCTCAACCTTCAGAACTACAGACCACTCACTCTACCCTCTACACTAACTGCTCGCAACACATAATGCCCATCCCAGTTTGCTAATTGAGCTATCTAATCCTGACTCATGGGACGCCGAAATGGACTCAGACTGCCACCTAGTGGCTATAGTAATCACATGTTTTTCACGCAATTCGTGAAACACGGGGAGCGTAAGTGAAGTGTCCATTTCCAACCAGCACACACTGTATGCCTATGTTTAATTTGAAAGCATGCTATGCAACGTTTGAATAAAGATTTATGTATTTTGTCGTTTGTTTCAATTTCTATTCATTTCAAGATGTGTTTGTTGAACTGAAGAATTGTTTTTTTTTTTTCAAGATTTATTTAGTTATTCATTTCAAAACTGTTATTATTATTCTTCTTTGATTTTCTGATACTTTTATTTAAGCTACTCTATACATTTCCAGAATTTTTCTTTTCAAACCCATTTTTATTTCAGGCTGTTTTTTTATGAATATATTCTTATATTCAAACACTAAAATATAAAGCTTTTTAAAGTTATTAATTAAATGCATTTCTTTAAGTAACAAACACTGCATTTAGACTGCCACTAAACTAAACATAAACCGAAAGGATGCATCAGTTGCATCTGCATTAATATTATTAACAGGTGAGTACACAGAAGGAAATACTTGATATTACTTTAGAATTAAGTCACAGAAATCAGCCTGCGTGTCAATATCACCATATCAGATATCTTGGGTGACATTATGAGAGGAAAGATGTGTTTGGTTTTTTTATTTGTTCTTTTTCCACCAAATCCTTTCACTTGGAGGTCAGCAGAGCAAACTCACTGCTAAGACAGGACACACACTAGCCGAAACACCTATTTCAGAAAAGCTTTACAAATAGTGCATAGTTAATATGGTATTTTTATTTCGTTCATGTTTTTAAATGGCTAATTAACATCAACAAATGTAAACCCTTTGTCTCAGTATCAAAGTGCTGCTAGAAAGTAACATCCTCAGTTGGGGAGAACACTTTTTATTGGGATTGATCTCACTAATTGGATGGCAGCAATTAAACTCAGTGGAAAAAACAAACAAACGTTAGTTATAAAATTAGACGTATTCTTAGTTCTTCTAAAGACAGCATATCGGTTTTAATGAGCAAATATTAGGAAGAATTTAGCTTTAGGTTTAGAGGTTAATTGTGTAGCACCATTGATACACTAGGCATTTCAGAGTGTTGAACAAAAAAGAGAATAAAGGTAAAGAACATTGTATTAAAATCCAGCAGCATGTTAAAGCAGTAACATCTAGCTTTTAGCATTTCATTTTTAATAATTGGAAATTTATAACAAAATAATAGCTAGATTGGATATACAATAGACTAACTAATGATCGTTGACATTCATAGGAATCCTTTAGTAAACAGAAAATATTTTATTTCTGTTTCAATAGAAGACATCAGTTCATGCACATGTTTATTTAGAAGGAAAATGCTATCAGTACTAATGAGCAAAGAAACTAAATACTGTTTTTTGCATTTTGAAGCCTAAGTAAACCAGGCTCTGATGAACTGAGGATCTTACAAATTAGACCTGAAATACAAATCTAATTTTTATAAAAAGGATATCAGTTTAGTTATTTAAGAAATGGGTGGTTATTTCTTTCTGGAAATTGTCAAAAAATGTAGATTAGCTCTGGCTACTATTTCTATAACTACAAATAGAACCAACAAGACCATAATCAAAGCAACAGAAAATAGATTCTACAACAGTTTCATGTGTTTTATTTACATGGGAAACCTTGTATTCCTACAATGTTCTAAAAGAGGCTGACGATATAACAAACTTCACGCGGGTTTTTAAATTTGGACGTGCTCTGTTAGGTGCAGCCTTTTATCAGTTTACCTGATCTGCTTTTATCCCTTTTTGATCAACGCAGCAATATGTTTTATCTGCATCCAGGTAATAGAAGTATCTGCCCATCCACATGATAAAATTATGTACACTCTATTATGTACACAAATATAAAATGTTGTGACAGGAAATTGTCAGTATAGGAATCTTGACATACTTTAATTTGGGCAATGCTAATAGCTACATATTACGGTAAGTAAAAGTGGCTCAACAATAGACACTTGAGGAACCTCACATGTTACTACTGTTCGGTATGATCTACAAGTGCTGAGTGAAACAAAGCAGTCTGGATTACAAGTCATGAAAGACTTTTACCAATATGGCAGAATGCTAACTACTCTCACCCTTGATATATTAACCAAATATCAAGATTGCCATTGGAGGATATTCTCAACAAATTAGTTTGAAAAATATCCAAACATTAAATGTGTTTTCAAGCCGAATAACATATAGCTGTAATGAGACAGAGACTGGATCCAAATAAACCAAGACAGGTTAGTCACGTTTTTATTGGTTTATTGAGAGGTTTGCTCTGATAGCGGGACTGAATCTGTGTGAGCAACAGGCTGCAGGAAGACGGGCGGGCAAATCGAGGGAGGTTTACCAGTTTTTGATCCAGGACGGGGAGGCAGGCAGTTGAGCGGAGCTTTTCCGAGTCCGTGATCCAGAGAGAGGGGAGCAGGCAGAGTGATCAGAATGAATCAGAGATCCGGGGATCCAGAGGCAGAGCAGAGAGGGTAATCAGGCAGGCAGAATCAGACAGAGGTCAGGCAGGTCGGTATCAGCAGGCAGATCGGGTCAGAAACAGGTAGACAATCAGGAAATCTTAAGATGCTGGACTATTTGTATCGGGTTGGCTCGAGATAATCGGGCACTGACGACTGATCTGATGGGGTTTATAAACTGCTGGAAACAGGTGACTCTGGTCAGAGCTGATTGCGGACGGGAGGAGCAGAGCAGGTGTATGGACTGAGTGATCAGGCCAGAATCAGTGCAGAAACCATTACAAGAGCATTTATTTATCAAAAGCCTTGAATGGAGGTAAAAACCGAGACTATTTTCATCCATCCATTAATTTTCTCTGGCTTTGTCCACCTGGGTCGCTGTGGGGCCATGTAGAAAGACACCAGACTGAGAATCAAACCAATTGCAATTGAAATGTTGTCAAATACAGCATATGATATCCAAAGGGAAATAGGTAGTTTATATATTTAAGGGATCTTCAGAGAGAATTAAGATCTGTGAGGAAAAAATGAAAACACAGTAAGGAAATAAATCTCTACTTAAGACGTTCCCATTATATGTCCTCAGATCACCATTTTCATTTGCAATTGTTGCATTAAACTGTGTTCCCTGTGTAGCTGGAAAATGACTGCTTTCTTGTTCCCTCCATCTCATCAAAAGGAAAGGTTTCTGCTGGCCAGAAGAAATGCAAATGCCCTCTCAATACAGGGCCAGAATGGTAAAAGTGTTAATGAGTGACAAAGCGTTCTCATTATCAGGAGAGGGTACTTGGGCTCAGTAAGTCTAATCAGCTCTAATGCATTTCAGTTTCTAATGCTCCTAAACTGCCGACAATGCCGAACAGGGCCATTTATTACCATAGGACACTCCTGTGGATCCAGCAAAACTGGCACACAGTCTTCAACCTTATTGGTTGCATATATCAGTAAAGAGTACTGAATGTTAAACCGTGTAGGCCCTATCTTTACTGCTTCAAAATGGGATACTATCACTCTTTGGGTACATATAAAGAACAGCAGATATTTCCTATTAAAATTATTAATAAAAATCTGCTATAATTTTCTAAATCAGCTTATTAAAGATAGGGTTTCCCCAAATTAGTCTTAATAAGTATTTGTCCTTATGTAAAATGTTTGACATTTTACAGATATGATCATCCATTTTGCATTTTAATAGTGTTTTCATTGTTTAGGAAATGGCTGGTCTAAACAAACCCAAGAAGACTTTGTGATTTCATCAGAGCAAGTGAGGGAGAATAAAATCTGTATTCGTAGAAAATCCCATTTCCTTGACAATTTTTCAGGCCTCACTGTAATGTAATTGCCTCATTCAGTTTGGATCACCTTTCCTTTTCACTCACAAACTGCCTTTGCTTCTGTCCTTGAGAAGGACCGCTCTGTGACCCTTTGGTGCTTTTTGAAATCCTTCATCTCCTCTTGAGATGACTCAGACAGAGAAAAAGGTGGATGTCTGGAAAGTCATCTATCTGACCACAAGAAGATATTTGACAGTTTTCTTCTCTGTGTAATGATCAGTTGGTTCGAAAAAGTAAAAGTGGTGAAGATTAATAGCAAGAAATCGAAGAGAAATGAGTGTTGATGTGTGACACAATATGTACAAAATGTGTGTAGATGGGTGGCAGACGTGTAATGTTATGAGATAGTTCAAAATGTTATCAATCCAGAAGTGGCACACTAACAGAACAGAGGGCAGGAAAGATACGGAAAAAGTCAGAATAAAACTTATTTTAAAAGAGTAGTGTTAGGTTTTATTATTTATACATCATGTGCATTGTTATTTTGTTAGTCAGATTAGACAGAGCAGAAGGCCTTCCTTCACATTGTGGATGTCACTGTGTGTACGGAGGTCATCTAATCAGGACAGCCGTCGTGTCTGTAAGAATACACAGGATATGGGCACATCTTGGAGCCGGTCTGATAGGAGAGCTGCTGTATCTGTAACCCTGAGACAGAGAGGCAACCTGCATGGAGTTCAAGACATGGATGGCGTGTCAGTTTCTGATAGGGACAGCTAAGCATCCACATGATGCAACACAGACTCAGCAGGTATAAGAAGCAGGAGATGACGTTGTTCGGGGCTCAAACCTTGCCGGACGCTTGCGGACGTGATTTTTGAGACCACAGCTGTGCAAGCTCTAAGCATTTTTCTCTGTCCTGTAACGACCTGATCTGGAATAAACTCTGTTAGTTTTTTACTCCTGTTTTTATAGTCCTTTTTTATATGGTTTTACCCAGTTTGAGTTAAGAGTAGTAAATAACTTGCTCCCAGGAAAAGAACCGATGAAGAGGCCCCCGGGGTGCTACAGCCTTTACTTCCAAGGGGACAAATCCTCCTCACTTTAACAGTAGCTTGCTGGGTGTCTCCTGAAGGTTATTTAAAGGGTACAGCCAATGTGGGGATCAGTCATAACATTGAAAGTCAGATTAAAACCAAGAGCCAAAACATTTCTTGTAATTTATAATATATTTCATTATATATATATATATATATATATATATATATATATATATATATATATATATATATGAGTACTTCCCTATGCCTTTACACCTCGTACTTCCCTATGCCTTTACACCTCCTCCAACTTCTCTTGGGGAGTGAAGTTCTAAAGCATCGCTTTAGGATGCAGGCGTTCAGGAGTCATGTGTAGCAAATTCTAGAGCCACATCCGCACACCTCTCAATAAAGAGGTACACTGGCTCTATCTCCAACGCCCTCACAGATGGCCAAGCTTCAAATCTACCTCTAAGGAAGTGCCTGGCCCCTGTCCAGTGAACTCCTCCACTTCAGGCAGGAACTCCACCTTCACCTGTTGAGAACAACCTAGCTTATTCTACAAAAGAACTGATCGTCATCTCTGCTGCTGCACAACGGGCTGAAAACTGCGTGCTATAAGCTTTGGCTAGTGGGATTTTATACTATAATGAACCAATAAAAAATATATACATTTCATTTAAACAATAACAGTTTCTACTAGTTCATATATAAATGTGACTTTCTACAAATATCTTAAAAAGAAACTCATAGGGGAAATAATAGTGAGTGGTTTTGAAATTCAAGGCTTTCTTTGTGGCAATCAACATTGTTAAAATTGTGGGATTCCTTCAATAAATCAGAATACTCATCTTCATCATCCTTCTTTACTCATCATCATCCTCTTTACTCTCTTCTGTCCACAAACTCATTATGAAAATACAGGCCATCTGTTTTCAAGAGAATCCGGGAACCATACAGTTAGAGTATACTTCTTTTCACTTGCTTAGATGCCATCCTGGTAATAATGGATAGTACAACAAAATTTGTCAAACATTCATGCAATCCTGCTTAAATGCATTAAAATGTATCTTACTATTTATCTTAACAGTGTTTTGTTAGAACCACCAAAAAATAACTACAATCCTTATATAATATACAAAACAGTGTATTTATGGCATGCAGTTTGTTCAAGACATCCATGGTCATAAAAAGGGATGAATTCACCCCCAGAGAAAGGGTGAAATGTTCCCTAAACTTAAATGTTGTTGGTCACACACCTGTCCACAGATCTTTCAAGTGATGTTTTGCGTGAACATTTTAGATGGTTTGTGGCCCCAATATAGTCGTTTAACACACCTTGCCATAAAGGGCTAATGGACATATATGACAGGTTTCTCTTTACAGTTTGGTCATTGTTTCAAAGTTTTAGATTAAATAGACCAAGCTTGGAGCTTCTATTGGCTTTTTGGTAATGAACATAATCGATCCTATCTCATGACTGATTATAGAGGCCTCTTTCTGCTCTGTCTGTGCCCACAGATCCTCCTTTGATGGTCACCTCTCGCCTCGGCGGAAGGGAAAGAAGAAGAAGAGAAAATCAGAGAGAAAGAGAAAAAGAAGACGGTGAGATTGGAATTATATCATTCAGTATGATGGACTGGATTATAACTTGCTTGATTGGAATTTATTTTAAATCTTTAGTATGAGCTTTTTTAAAAATTACATTATACAGTTAAATTAAAGATATTTATTTTGAATCAAATGAAAGAAAAAAAGTTTAATCGGTCAGAAATCAACAAAACTGGGTTTAGATGAGTAACCAGCATTACATATGAATGTCTTTGAATCAGATTGGTTTATTCTGTCAATGACTTCAAAGGTAGAACTTATTTGATAGAAGTGGCTTTAAATTGTACCTGTTTTAGAAGAATAGTTATTAAATTCATCTAGATTTCATGACACTCAAAAATAAATGATCTTTTATTGACTTCTGTAAAAAAAAAAAAAAAAAGTGATATTTAAACTAACATAAAGTGAACGTAACTAAACTCAAATTTTCACCTTTTTTTTCTTGCTCCTTTAGGTCACCTTCTCAGAGTCTATCACCAGTGCGGAAGAATAAAAAGAAGAAGAAGAAAAGCTCTAAGAAAAGCAAGCGGCATAGGTAGTTCTGCTCTATTATTACAGTGCTGTGTTTATAAAAATATAATATTTTCTTAAAAGTGACTCTATTATTTTTATTATTTTTTTCTTGATTTCAGGTATACCTCTAAGAAGTCTAAACACAGGTATGTTGAAGTATTGTTCTTGTATAATTCTTATCATAATCTTAGTGGTAGAAATGTTGTTGTTTTTTTATCTAATATGGTATTCTTTAAATGTATTGCTTTTTTAAATGATGTTTTAAAGGATTACTGGATTTTCATCTTAAAACCTTAAATACCTTCTCAGTGTACAGTATCAGCAAGAAGGCAGGCAGTCTGTGAAGACTTTGTCAGTCTTAAATACCTCCGGCTCACTAAGCTCTCCTTTATCCTTCCAGTTCTTCAAGTTTAAAACGTAAAAGAAAGGATGAACGCAAGCACAAGAAAAGGTCAGTGTGTGATAAATGCATTGAAATCGTGTATATCTTCCTTCCTTTTTAAAACTATGTATGTATATATATATATATATATATATATATATATATATATATATGTATACACAAAGAGTTAGTGATAATAGTTTAATATTGTGATATTGTAGTCTTTCCTAATTTGACTCTTAGGTAAGAGTGCTGCGATAGATTTTTTTTTCTATAATCTCTTTGCTTCTGTAAACACCACAAATTCCCCTTTTTCCATACTATGTCATATGTTATTCTGACCAAAACTTTAGTTATATTCAATTCAGTTTATTTCTATAGTGCCAATTTACAACACATGTTATTTCAAGGCACTTTACAGAGACAATTCAATCAGATCATACAGTCAGATTGGTTCATAGTTTTCTATCTAAGAAAAACCCACTGATTGCTTTGACTCCCACACAATCCCTCACACCACCCATGCTTGTAGCGACAGTGGAGAGGAAAAATTCCCTCATAACAGAAAGAAACCTCCAGCAGAACCCGACTCAGTGTGAGCGGCCATCTGCCGGTTCAAGGAGACAGAAGTGGACAAAGAAAAAGAAGCAGAGATACAAAAGACAACTGTTCACCAGCTCCACATGCGGCCCTGTCCAGGAAACACACTGCCAGGCAGAGGATAAAAGAGAGCACATACAGTTAGTCATAGTCAGAGAGACATGACATCTATAAACAAAGGTGTTGATGGCAACAGCACGGCTGACACTTTTCTCCAGGATGTTGTCAAAGCTCAACATGAACAGACTTGGTGAGGCTACATGATAAGAAAAAGCAGGGAAAGCATAACATTAGAGATTGAACTAACAAATACTGCAGAATGGGAGAATAGAGATAGAGAAACAAAAAGGGTTCCCTATGTCCTTCAGCAGTCCAAGCCCACAGCAGCACAAATGCAGAAAATAGCTCAGGAAAACCTATGTATTTTGGATGAGGTATAAGAAAGGTAGAGCCACAGTGTTGTCAAGTGAGAGCCAAAACATATAAGACTGAAAATAGATAATTTTACATTTTTTTTTTCCACAGATAGAAATCTGGAAAGTGTGTCATGCATTTGTATTTTGTTACTGGGGCTACGTCTTTCAGGTAATTGTGCTGCTGACCCTCTACTGCAGTGTCAAGTGCTTACAGCCTCAATAAAGTCTTTCTTCTCTAATTGGCCTGTATTTATTTCTATCCATCTTTCCATCAACTGGAGGGAACTGGTGCAAGAGATAATATTTTTGTTTATCTTGGATGTTTTGGTTCCAAGTTCAGAGACTGAAGTTACAAAAACAGAGTTCCAGAGAACACGTTATGGAGTATGCGTAAATAAATGGATGTGTTGCAGTCAAACTGAATAATCCAGACAAGAAAAAATACACTGTGAGCTTCAGAGAAGTGGAGGAGCTGTGGCAGAAGGAAAATAGGGTAGTTGTGGTATAAATTATAGTTCAAACAGACAAAGCTAAATTGAGGAAAGAATAAACTCTCATTAAGGTTAAAAAGCCAGACATATCTTACAAAACTTCGAGATATATAGAACACAAGAATACTGAACAAAAAAAAAAATGTGATCAAATATTTTTAGATCTCAGTGATCACGTATTAAAAACAAGGAAATACCAAGAATGCAAAAAAAAAAAGAAACAGCTGAACATTCAGTAAAGAGGATTGAAAACTTCAAGTTTATATCTTTAATATCTTTAATCTTTGATTTGTTATCAAAGATTAAAGATATTTACAATTTTTCTCTTTATGTCACAGTTTTTGGTTTTTAACATTATAAAATATGATAAGGCTCACGGGTTGATAATACTTTTTCAAGGCATATCATTTAAATCTGTTTTTATTACTCAAACAGAAGAAAAATCAATGAACCCCCTTAAAACTGTTTTCTTTCAGTATATCAACCATTTTAAATTAATTTGAACTCTCAGCCACGTCTTCCTTTGTCTTTGCTTTGTTTTATCTCCAATAGTTCACGGACTCACTCACATCGCAGGCGGCGCTACAGGAGGTTGGAGTCGGACTCTTCCTCCTGCCGATCTTTCACAGGGGACAGGTACAGGCCCTCTTGCCTCCCTCCACCCATGCCCCCCACACTCTTCTTCTTATCAGGAAGAGGCGTCTTGGTCTCACTGTGGCAATAACTGATAAGACAGGGGTGACTTCCTCCACCTCCGGTATAACCAACCCTTATCACGGCCTCACGGGAAAATGGCCACAAATTCACTCCTCTGATCAATGCATTCAGTCAGAATGAAATAGAGTGGAATATTGGGGGTTTGGTGATATGAAAGGGTACTGTGATGTGACATTTACTGATTACATTTTAGTAATTGCTGGGGGAATTGCTGGATAAGGGAGATAATTAATTCTCTATGACCTCAGTTTGATGCAGATGCATTGTAAATAAGAGGGTCCAGGGAATACAGACTTGAAACAACCAACCCCATGTCTGCTGAGGTGGAGTACAGCACTATATGGAGGCGAGATTTACTTATGCAACAACGTTGTAGAAATAATGAAGGCTAGAGTTCTGTAAAGACATGAAAATTGTGAGGTAAGGGGTTGGTTGAAAGAAGTGCTCCGACACCAGTGTACAAATAATACATTTCATTAAAGCTACAGTGTGTAACTTTTAGCGACATCTAGCGGTCAGACTG